CTTTATCATCATATGGATCATTTTGCCTATGCCCTTTGGGCTATATTGCAGCGTACTGCTCATCTACAGCCTGAGATGCAATCTGCTACCGGGGTGTCAGCTATCATGTCCTCTGCTTATGAGACTGGTCACTATGCTCCTCCTGCTTATATGAAACCTCCTCAACGTTATAGTGGAGATCCATTGAATTGCAGAGGTTTCATCAACCAAGTTAGCATCCATTTGAAATGAACCCTCACTCTTTTTCCACAGATAGAGCAAAGATTGCATTTCTTGTTAATTATTTAGCTGATAAGGCTCTAGCCTGGGCTAACCCTTTATGGGAGTCTAATTCACCTGTTGTCATTAGCTACGCTGACTTTCTTTCTGCCTTCAAACGTACTTTTGATGCACCAGGTCGTGCTCATTATGATGGCAAGTCTTTGATGAGAATGAGACAGGGGTCGCACTCAGTGGCAGAGTATGCTATAGAATTTAGAACCTTAGCTTCTGAGGTAGTCTGGAACAAAAGTGGTTTGGTTACGTCTTTCCAAGAGGGCTTAGTAGATAACATTCAGCAAAGATTTGCCTCCTGATTTAAATGATCTGATCAAATATTTCATACATATAGATTTTCAACTGAGAAATAGACGCTCACAAAAGTAGAGACAAAGGAGAATGGTCATGACCTTACCTCCTCCGGTTTGAGAGGTGCTAGCCTTACCTGCTCCAACCCCAGAACCCATGCAATTAGGTGTGACAAAGTTATCCGAGGCTGAGAAGACTTTCAGAAGAAGAGAGGCCTTTATTGTGGACAGAAGGGTCATCTTAGGAAAAATATACAAAATAAACAACGTCTACAGGTAGTGGCTGTCTAAGACCAGACTAATACACTAAACCAGTAGAGGGTAACACCTTTTAAGACACTCCAGAGGTGTCATGGGGCATAACCCCTAATATAGAGACTACAAACGAGATACTCAAAATACCAAATATATGAGTATCAACTGGAAATCTAATTGCTGAAAAATAATAAATGTAAATAAATAAAAGTAATATAGGTGGATAAATACAAAAATAATAATAATAAATGGTCAGACAAAAGGGTAATATAAGCCAAATTGCTAACCTCCCATCTCTAGAATAGTCACTAAAGCTCTCAGAGTTAGACTTTAATATAATCCTGGTTTGGTCAATGTCTGAGACTGGTAACGGCTATAAATCAAAATAAATATAATGAGCGACCTAGGAAAATGCTTAAACCCTGTGGAGTTCAGAGATACTCAGAGTAACATGAATATAGTCATAGTGTACACCACTATTAGTGGTCTGAGAAAATGAATCACCTTAGTAGGAAAAATAGGAGTATTGAGCAAAATCAAAAGCTATATCGAAGATGATGGTAACACACCATCAAAAAAGCTATAAAGGATAAGTGATAGTCAGTTGGGTCAAAAATTGCTAGCAAAACGGCAACCCAGTATAACTGAGTACTGGATAATTTGTAATCAACTTTATCCAAAAAAATGACCTCATATCTCACTAATGTTATAAATCCTGATCTAAGTACCACTGACATTAATAATGTATTCTCCCTTGACCCTCTAATTAGCCAGAATCCAATGGAAATTAACGATATACAAAATCTTTATAAACAACAAATTAGAGGCCATTGGGAAATTACAAGTCTACGTAAATATGTAGAAGAAAAACTGGTCCCCAGAGGACTAAGGTCCGACATTCCAAGACCTGATAAAGTTAAGACTGAATTACAAATAAAGGAATGGAACAGTATCCTGATAGATAATTAAATTAAACTCATGGTATTTTTAATTAAACTGGAAGAATCACACTTGGATAAGGTCAATCAAGACCTCCAAGTAGAAATTAATAAAATAAAAGTGTTTCAAACACATTTAGATTTCAAATCAATGGAAATAAAATTGAACGATAATTTGGAAAATTATAAAAAGTACATTAGGGAGAAAAAAAACATCTTAAGTTTCAGCGTGTCCACAGAGATTTCAAAGAAGGTACCATCTTTAAACAAAGCCAAGATGTTAGAAAAAGATGGAGCAGTAGACAAAATTCCACATCAGGAGATACGGACTGGTCCGACTCAGATTCCAGCCCACTGAGACATGGTAGAAATACCATTAAAACTTACAATCCAAATCAACAAATAAGAAAGGGGATATTAAAAACAGCAGAGAGAAATGTCTCATTTCCCGATATTCAGACAACTACGAACCCTACCAATTTTACTAATCCATCAGTAGCCTCCAAAACAAGGATCACCCCTTTTTTAGAACAAGAGTGGCCTCTACCCCAAAGAGGCAAACTCCGCGACAGAACAAAATGGGGATACAAAAACAACAGAGACAATTACAAAAAACAATGAGTAATAACAATATGGATGAGAATTTAATCATAAATCTTTCAACTTTCAATCTAGAAACTAAACACAAATCGTTATTAAGCAAAGGTTTGTTATTTGTTCCATCTCCTACTACTAATACATTTGAATGGATTAAAGATACAAATTTATTTGTGCGCAAACTAGCCCTGAGTGCCACTCATAAAAGAAAAGAAAATAAGCAGGCCAAAGAATTAGGCCTAACTCCTGAAGATTACAAACACTTAAAAACTATGGTATCACTTCTAGACGAACAGGAGGACAAACAATCCCTCACGGATTGCAAACTTCCTAGCTGGTACACCCCGAATTTTAAGGAAGTGCCCAGTGTGGATTTGTTTGTCCAAATGACGACCAAAGAGTCTCTTACACCTCCAGGCAAAATGGAAGACAACCTAACAAAAAAGGAGCGGGAAGCACTTAGAGATCTTAGAACTAATAAGGATATTGTTATAAAACCATCGGATAAAGGGGGTAGTATTGGATCAGGAATCCTACATTGAGATGTGCATGGAACATCTTAGAGACACCTCTCAATACAAAATACTATCTCAAGACCCTACCACTCCATTCCTGACTGAATTGAAAATACTTTTAACGCAGGCCTTAAAAAATGGAGTGATAAGCAAAGAGGAATATCGTTTTAGGATTCCTAATTACAACCCCACTATCCCTACTTTCTATTGCCTTCCCAAAGTCCACAAGTGCCATAAGAAACCTCCAGGGAGACCAATTATCTCTGGTAACAACTCGTTGACGGAAGGGTCAAGCAAATTTTTAGAGAAACTTCTTCATCCATTTGTAACTAACTTAGACTCCCATGTGCAAGACACCAAGCAAACATTATTGGTACTTGAAAACTTGGTTGTTCCGCCGTACACTCTCCTTGCCAGCTTGGATGTTGTTTCTTTATATAACAACATCCCCCATGACAAGGGACTATGTGCTACATCATACTTTCTTAACAAATACACTAAGTACAGCACAGCCCAAACAGCATTGATATTAACACTACTTGAATTCGTTCTTACTCACAATTATTTTGTCTTCAACGGCATCTACTATCTCCAGTTACGTGGAACGGCTATGGGCAAAGCTTGTGCCCCTAGTTATGCCAATTTATACTTGGGCTGGTGGGAAGAAACCATTCTGAAAAACACAATTTCAAATCAATACCAAGAGCACATTTATAAATGGCTAAGATACATTGATGACATCTTGATTCTTTGGACTAGTTCGTGCAGCAATTTCATAAATATGGTGAAAGATCTTAATAACAACCAGATAGGTCTTCAACTGGCATGTCATTCACGAATCTAGATTAGAATTTTTAGATCTTACTATCATACTAAATATGGATGGCATGATAGATACTAAATTGTATAGGAAAAGTACAGCATCAAATAGCCTTCTAGATTGGCAGAGTTTTCATCCATATCGCCTTAAGGCTGGAATACCATTTGGACAGTACCTAAGGGCAAGGAACTGTTCTAGTGATTAATCTTTTCAAGCAGAAGCAAATCAATTACGTGTCAGATTTAAGAATAAAGGGTACCATAATAGAATTCTAAAGAAAGCATAACAGAGAGCCATCAACCAAGACAGAAGCAATAGTCTTAGATCAACCAGACCTGTTTCTGATGACAAGACGATAAGATGCATAGGTATTTTTGATAAACAGTGGCAACCTATAAAAGACATCTTTACCCAACACTGGCCCATTTTACAGTACGATACAGAAAGTCATTTAGAAAGAGTCATAGTTCAATGAATATCCTGGCCTCATATATAGACTACCATCATTATAATTTATATAAGAATTTATACAATCACGATTTAGTGAAGGTTGTCTAAAATACAATTTTAGCCACATATACCTACAATATTACGAAGCCTTAAAAATAAATTTTTCATTATATGGACTTGTACATTTATATATATATATATATATATATACACACACACACTTTATTAATGTACACGTTGATACTTATACAATGTTAGTCATCTTTGGAGTTTTTTGGAATATATTAGGATCTAAGTTAGGGATCTTTTTCCACAGTATGATCGTTTTTGAGATACTCACAATTAAGAGCTCATAATTTAAGACCACGTTCCCGCTAGAACACTTACTTTCTAATTAGAAAAATTGATCGTAATAACTCCACTTTGCAGGTATTTATATACAAAGTACAAACAGACTCATTTCCGAAGTTTGAATGATCATTTTTAAGGCATTCATCTACTTTGTAACGGCAACATTATTGTATCATTATCGTTACTAAGATCGTATTATCATAATCTATATTGCAATCTTTAATGACTGCCTGTTACTATATAACGCAGTGAAGTAACCTCCAAACCCTTCAAAAGTTAACAATTCTGTTGCTAGATTTAAATCAACAGAATCGAACTCAATCAACATCTAATGGACGGAATTTTATATTCATATTTATTTATATTTATTTTTATTTATGTTCTTTTATTATTTCTTGTTTTTTTCTGTCCCACTATTGATCATAGAAACTCCGGTGATGTCAAATAATATGAGTTAAAAGTTGTATATCTGTTAGATATATATCTAACAGATAACAAATTGAACCTGATTTGCAAAGAATTGTGTGTGTGTGTGTGTGTGTGTGTGTGTGTGTATATATATATATATACATATACACACACACACATACACACACACACACATACACACAATTCTTTGCAAATCAGGTTCAATTTGTTATCTGTTTTTGGGTAATATCCCCAATCAAGGTTCAGCGCATAAACAGATATTGACACTATAAGTCGCTGAACATTTAACATTATATCTGCTCTGATCACCTTTCTTCTCTAAAAAATGAAAGTTAAACTAAAAACTATATTACGGACACTGCGTGTTGACATCTTTTCAGAAGTCTTCTTATTATTCAGTTTGCAGTTATCCACTTAACCAGTACAGAATCCCAGGGGTTAAAACCTAGTCCAAATGGACCACTGTCTTTTCGTACGGTCCTCTAAGTATGAGTAATTTCAGGTAAACTCTTGGGTGACTCAAAATTCTTTCTATGTACTACTTTGTGGAACTCTTAGACACTATTATTTTCAATAGTGATGAGTTTCAACTTAAACTTATACTTGTTTAACTAGTTAACCATACAACTAGATAAGCACAAATTAATCTAAGAACTTCCACTTGCTATGAGTATATATTTGCCGATCTCACACATACTATATGCCTTATGTCAGTACATCCATTTAATTAGAACAAATAGATATCATCTAAATATTTGATTCATTTTGGGATATATCTTCTATGGCCATTATTTCCATTCGCTTATTTATTTATTTCTCCAACTTCCCCAATAAAGGGTTAAATTCCCGTTACAGCTTAGAAACCAAGGATAATTAAGTAATCACTAACATCATAATGCACAATGCTTTCACATTGGTTCTGAGAGTGGTGACATATTTTGAATCCACCAATCAGACTTCTGCTTCTCTCCTTTTTATTTTGGACCTTTTCCCGCACATCGGTTCCCCTCTGATGAGTTGTGGACGAAACGCGTGTCATGGGCTCCCAGGGACCTAGAGTAATTTCGAACTTTGAAATATTATTATCATCATTATATATCACTAAGATAATTTCTCTATCTCGATCCCTGAGTATACATTTGCCGTTCATGCACCGTATAGCAATCTTGGGTCTTTTATTATTAGGTGATATGTGACTTTTAGGAACACCTTCCTCCTGATAGGTTTCACAATTGAGACATAGTACTCCTCTATTGCTCCCACTGTAATTACGGCTAAGTTCTTTCTCTACAGAGGCAGCTTATACATTTGAGCACTGTTAGCTGTTCTAAAAGTGTTACATTATATTTCACTTATGATCTGTCTCTTTGTACAATCTAACAATTTACTTTGTAACATTTTTACAGCAACAATACTATATTTGCTCTCTATGATCGCAAAACTTGGTTTTGCTAACTCATTTTGGGATTGGATTTCTGAAAACTTTAGAACAGAACCTCCCAATTATATTAAATTATTTTATTTAACATTTTTAGTATAGACTCATTACATGGTATCCTTGATATATTACATATATCTTTTCACTGGCTATTTGCCCCTATCATAGTATCTCAGGGGCATTTTTCATGAGTTAGAAATATTACTTTCTGCATTTATACCTATTCTTGATATTGACTCTTTTACATTTAGTATCTGGTTATTTGATATTTATAATTAAACATTTACCATTTTTTAATGAATTCATTAAAAGTTATATTTTAATTATTAGGTCACTCCTTTCTCTTTTCTTTATTATTATCGCTTGGGCGTATGGGTTAACCCCTTCATGAGTGATCCTTTAGCTTCCCTCAGTTTAGTTGTTTTTAGCTTTTGATTTTGCTCAATACTCCTATTTTTCCTACTAAGGTGATTCATATTCTCAGACCACTAATTTATTTATTTATTTATTATGTATTTATTTATTTATTTATAAAATATTTTACCAGGAAAGATACATTGAGATTTCTCTCATTTTCAAGTATGTCCTGGGTCCACAAATCATTGCATTGTTACATTAGGTACAACAAAATACAAAAACAATATTAATACATAATATATACAAAATTTAACATAGAACAGGCAGGAAATATATAATCAACCATGACACGTGCATTCTGTTTTGAGGTATGTAGAGAGAGATCTCTTAAATGACTTTAGGCTTAGGGAAGATTTTAAATTGTGCGGGAGGTCGTTCCACAATTGCGGCGCTCTGTAGGAGAAGGAGGATCGGGCCGCTTTCTTTTTGTATTGAGGTAGACTAAGTAAAGTGCTTGTACTGGATCGGAGCTTATAGAAAGTGGGAACAGCTGGGGAAAGCATTTTGTTCAGGTAGGGTGGGAGTTTCCCAGAAAAGCTCTTAAAAACAAGGCTGGAAAGATGAAGGGTGCGTCTGGATTCCAGCGACAGCCAGTTTAGTTCTTTTAGCATGTCACAATGATGGGTCCTGTAATTACATTGTAGCACAAATCGGCAGAACGAGTTATACAATGTGTTGAGTTTATTAATGTGGGATTGCGATGCAGACGCATATACTACATCCCCATAATCAATGATTGGCATCAGCATTTGCTGTACAATCTTTTCCTTTACTGTAGGGCTTAGGCAGGCTTTGTTTCTGTACAGGGCACCTAATTTTGGATAAAGTTTAGATGCAAGCTTTTCTATGTGCAGGCCAAAAGATAGATTGGGGTCTAATATCATACCCAAGTATTTGAAAGAGTGGACTGCGGTCAGTGTGCCATTTGAATTTGTTTTGATGGATAGGTGGGAATTGTGTAATTTGTGTAATTTAGGTACTGTTCCAAAGATCATTGTGACAGTTTTGTCAGTGTTCAGGAAGAGTTTGTTTTTTGCGATCCACTTTTCTACCTCTGTAAGATGGTCTTGGAGCAAAGCCTCAAGTTGCGGTAGATTGGATTTGCTCGCATAGATTACTGTGTCATCTGCGTACATGTGTACATTTGAGGATTGGCAGACATTAGGCAGATCATTTATAAATAATGTAAATAGTAGGGGGCCGAGAATGGAACCCTGGGGAACACCACACGTGACTGGAGAGGGAGGGAGTCACTGTCAGAAATGGACACATATTGCGAGCGATCCGATACATACGATCGAAACCAGTTTAGAGAATGATCACCAATACCTGAGTTTTCGAGTTTGTGCAGTAGAATGTCGTGGTCTACTGTGTCAAAGGCCTTAGCAAAATCAAGGAAAATAGCTCCAGTTAGGGCTCCTTGTTCCATGCCAGTTTGGATGTCATTGCAAACTTTTAGGAGGGCAGTTGTAGTGGAGTGATTCTGGCGAAAGCCCGATTGATCAGGGGTCAGATAGTTTAATTGTTGGTAGTACTCACAAAGTTGCGTATGGACACATTTTTCTAAGATTTTTGACAATACCGGGAGCAATGATATTGGGCGATAGTTAGAAACCAAAGTAGTGTCACCACTTTTATGGATAGGCACTACTCTCGCAGTCTTCCAGAGTTTGGGTATGTATCCAGACACCAAGGATTCGTTAATTAGAGTTGAGACGGGTTTAGCACTGAGCTTCAACAGCATTGCTGGGATTTGATCAGGCCCGGACTGGTTTTTCATTTTTAGATTATTAAGATGTTTTTTAATGACACTAACAGGTACAGGTCTAAAATTAAACTTATCTATATTGGGCCTTTGCAAATTTAGTGGGGCCTGATCCACATTTGTAGTTTCAGGATGCGTGTCATTTATTAGCTTGGCAATCAGGGCAGTAGAGCATCCGACAAAATAATTGTTAAAGGCATTTGCTACATCTAAGGGAAGTTGCAGGGTTTGGTTACCCACTTTGACAGTGGAGGGTTGGGAGTGGATTGGGGGAGTTTGTAGTTTATTTATGACTTTCCAAAAGTTTCTAGGGTTTGAGATGTTACTGTTCAGATTCTCATAGAAATATTGGGCCTTGGCCAGTTTTGTCTGTTTTGTGCATATATTTCGCCATTGTCTATAGGCACCGTGATCATTCATAGAGCCAGTACGCTTAAACTTTGACCACAAAGAATCTCGAAACTGGTACATTTGGATGAGGTCAGCTGTGATCCAGTTCATATGTGCTCCTTTTACCCTCACCGTATGCAGCGGGGCATGCAGATTCCAAATTTGTAGGAGTTCAGACTGAAAGTATTCAACAGCACAGTCTAGATCTGGGATAATGTTTAATCTGTGCCATGAGAGAGTCTTGATGTCATTTAAAAAGGATTCAAGATAAAAAAATTTGAAGCACCTAGTTATTTTAACCTTGGGAGAGGATTTAATAGCCTTTATTTTGCGCACGCAGTACACTAAACAGTGATCACTGAACGTGTTTGGGAGAACACCAACCTCCTGGATTCTATCAGGAGAACTGGAGAGAATCAATCTAGCAGGGTATGGTTATGGCTTTTAATGTTTATGCGAGTTGGGGAGGAGATTAATTGCGTTAGCTGCAAAGTCTTAAACAGCGTGCAAGAACTATTATTTTTAGGGTTCAGCCAATCAATATTAAAATCTCCAAAGACCAACAGTTCACTTTTTGGGTTTTGAGCTATGGTTTCACTAAGGAGATGGGCTATGTCAGAAAGGGAATGCACAGGGTAGCTAGGTGGGCGGTAGATTCCTGCAACAATGATTGATTTACTGCACGGTATCTCAATTGTGCCAGAAAGGAAATCAAAGATGGACTAAGGTTATGTAAAGGGGTAAACTTTATGGAATTGTCAACATAAATAACAATGCCTCCTCCTCTCTTTGCTCTGTCATTTCTAAAACATAAATAACCCTGTATTGCAATGGTCTAGTATTTTAGCTGTTAACCATGATTCTGAGAGCACAATGATTTTTGGTTTGTAATGGGAACACCAGGCTTGCAGTGCATCCAGTTTAGGGAGTAAACTACAGATGTTGCAGTGCACAAAAGAGAGGCCTTTTTTAGTGGGGGGATTAGGACTAGAATTAGCTGGGGGACCAGGGTTAGACTCCACATCATTTGCAAGGGCAAGTAACATAAGGAGTAGGAATTTGGACATCATCTTTTTTTGGCCATATAGTGAATGGGATAATTTATAATTTTGTGAGTTTGGAGTAGGAGGGCTATTTTTTATAACTCTCCACCAGCACTCAGCAGATAAGTTAAAGGAA